TTTGCCGCCGCCACCCCGCAATATTCCGGAATCATCCTCAAGCCTTAGCCTTACCGCGGGTGCCGACCCGGAAGCTGTGGATTGCGACCTGGAGACCCCCCTGCATAAGGCAGCTGCGCAGGTGAGCAGGGGGGGGGCGTGTCTCTGTGTCTGTCTGTGTGTGTGTCTGTCTGTGTGTGTGTCTGTCTGTGTGTGTGTGTGTGTCTCTGTGTGTGTGTGTGTGTGTCTGTGTGTGTGTGTGTGTGTCTGTGTGTGTGTGTGTGTGTGTTTTGTGAGCTGTGTATGCACTGCACGCGTGTGTGTGTGTGTGTGTGTGTTTTGATGTGTTTTGGAGGGCGCAATGAACTGGGATGTCTTATGCACAACTGCTTTCTCAACCGAAGTTAGTTGTAGACCTTACGTAATCGCTTACGTGATCGCTCACGTACATTCCTCACCCTCGGGCCTTCTCCGCCGCCGCGTGTTCCTGTCGGGTTTTTATGTGTGTGTGAGTTGCTCTCTACCTTGCCTTTGCCTCATTTGCCGTACATGCATTTCTTTCCCCCTAGCCCCTTCCCTTTTGCTGTCCTCCAGGGGGGGGGCATATTCATTCGCGGTTTTGAATTGCCTTCCTCCCCTCCTGCTGCTGCGGTGTGTGGTCAGTTCTACGTCTGGTACACTCTTGCCCTGGCAGCAGCTTCACTCGTTCACGTGGTTCACGTCTTTCCCGTTCTGCTGTCGTACTCCTCCTGTCGACATTCCTTGTCTTGTATGTCTTTACCCTTTCCTGCCTTGGACTTCTTTCTCGTCCTTTTACATCCCCCCTTTAATATTATTCCCTTTTTCTTAAGGTTTCCCTTCCTCCGTACGGCATGCGAAAGTACGGCATCATTGTTTTCCCCTCCTACCTCCTGACCCCCTCAGGGCCATGGCGGGGTTTGTCGTGTATTGCTCTCCCGCGGCCCCCGGTCGGCGGAGGTGGAAGACAAGGGGGGTAGGACTGCCGTACAGAGAGCTACAGGTGGGTGCGGGTTTGGGGTGAGGGGGTTGGTGGGGGAGATAGGGGTATGGGGGGGGGCTGGTTAAGGGGAAAGGAGTTACTAGCTGCCAAGTCCGAAGTCCAAAGAAGGCAGAAGGCGAAAAGGCGGGGAAAAAACACATCACCTCCGAGGTGAAAAGAAAAGTCTTAAAGAAAGCAAGGTCCCTAAGGAAACCGTAGTGATGGCGTGTATAACTTTTTTAATAGTGGCGGCAAAGCGGAAAAGGTTTCGGAAATTGTATTGTAAAGTAAAGTAATCGGAATGGGTACGGCGACGTGGTGACGAATGTAGTGAACTGTGTTTTTGCTGATTTATTGGCTGCTGATACGCTGCTTGCTGACATCTGCAAGTGCTCCTCCCAGCCCCTTAGCTAACACGGTGTGGGGTAAGGGGAGGGGAGGGGGCGGTTGGGGGGGGGGGGGAAGTCGAACCACGAACGAGTGAAGCTGCTGCCAGGGCAAGAGTGTACCAGACGGCGGTTGGGGGGGGGGAGGGGATGAACGGGCGAAATTGGAATGGTGTCTATGGGAATGGAGGGGAGGGGAGTGGACCACACATTACTACACCGTATGATACGATACGCGGCATTACAGAAAAGGCAGATGTAAGTACAGTCAAGCCGTGCTGCACATCCGTACACCTCCCGTACCATACCCAACGACACCCGCCTGCCCTGCCCGCCTTACTGGTTGGCTGGCTCTGCTTTCCCCCCTACCCCCTCTCCCCCCTCCCCCCCTTGGGGGGTGCGTCCTGGCGCCTTTTTAGTTTCCTTTTTGATTTCCCTCACTCGCTCCACTGCTGGTTTTTGTGGATGTACGGATGCTACTGCTGGGTTGCTGGCGGCGCTGCTACTGCTTTGGGTGCTGGTGGCCGTGCTACTGCCCATGCTGCTGCTCATGTTACTGCGTGCTTTTACGCAGGTGCCGCAGTCCCCGTGTTCACGTCCTGGTCGGCTGGTTCCGGAGTCGGATGAGAGGGGGAGGGAGGAGGGGAGGGGGGGAGGGAGGAGGGGAGGGGGGGAGGGAGGAGGGAAGGGGAAAGGGGAGGGGAAAACACGTGCAACACCCGCACATGGATGTAACCACCAGCCACGAACGCCAATGCGAAATTGGGTATGCGGGGCTGCCGAGTGGTGGTCGAGGGGGAGAGAGGTGAATGCTGGTATGGAATGTGGACTTGGAATGGGAGGGAGGATAGCTTCTCATTTTTGCAAATCGTCGGCTTTTTTTCTGCGTCTGGGATTCGAACCGGGGACTGAGATCTGGGTTGAAGGTGCACAGACATGATTGAGGTGAGCCATTTCAATCCGCGGGTGAAGTTGTGGGTTAATGGATTGGAAGGTTAGGGTTGGTGTTTGGCATTCATTAATAGATTCATTAACAGTGCTGCTGAGCATGCATGCATTTGTCTGTATGTTTGTCTGTTACACACCTGTAAAAAACCCGGCATGTGCCGTACAATACGCATGGGCCAGGTGACGAGCTGTTAATTCGAAACACATGGTGACGAGGGGTGTCGTATGTTAGCGTTCTTGCACGTGGTGGTTGTTGACTGTCGTATGTTAGCGTTCTTGCACGTGGTGGTTGTTGACGTAACTGCAAAGATGCCAATTTGCTGTCGTTGATTGGCGATTTGCTTAAGGTTAAGGCTGAGGCTTGTTTGGTCCTTGGCCAGGTTTGCCAAACCTGGGATTGCGTGAGATGTGTCCAGATTCAAGGGAACAGTCAGATTCCCTCGGTTTCGAGCTGTTAATGGGCCTAGGAAGTGTTGGTGGCCTTGCGCAGGTTGGCTGTTTAAACACAGCAAAAGCGCCGGAACACACACACACACACACACACACACACACACACACACACACACACGCGGTCCTATTACTGCTGTCACGCTTTCCTGGTATGTATGAGTGTCAGTCACTTTCCAACATTTTCTTCACCTGGGCTGCCATGCGGAATGTCGATTGACAAGATTTGTTACTTGGCACGTTCGCTATTCTCGGAGGCCTCGCGCTGGTGGTTGTGTGGTTGTACGACCAACGGCAATTTTCCCGGTGGTGTTCGGATCCAATACTATCTGACAGTATCTTCACATCAGAGAAATAAGAAATGTTCATAGCACACTTTGCGTTTCAACGCATTTGTCTGTCGGCACAGTAAACTCCCCAGCAGGCTTTTGTAACAGGACAAAGCATCTCTGTTTGTTTGCACTGCTCTATAATTGGGTGAAAGTTAATTGAATGGGGCTCCGATAGTTTCAAAAATGCGAAGTGCAATGTTCCAAAGCCGCTGCCGAGCGGTGCGGGAGGGCTCCTGCGGCTGGTGCCCGGCACAAAGGCTCAAGCAGGGGTTACAGTCAGGAAGGCATATAAAAGCACATGTAAGTTGCATCAAAGTCTATCCGGAATAGCGGCCCGGGAGACGACCTGCAGCCCTGTTTATAAACAAAGGAGCCAAACAGCCAACAAGCAATTGGTGGTTTGGCCCTCTGCTTGTGACATTACTTTTTGTCTGCGTTCTTCCCCGCACAACGGTAATTACAGACATATCTTGTGTCAGCTGTAACAGCGGCGGCGGTGGAGGCTGCGCCAATTGAGTCATCGTCACCGGCATCGCCCAGCATCAGCGTCCCACGACCAGCCACCTCCTCTCCTTCCTCCCTTCCACCTGCTCCCCTATCCTTCTCTCACCGGTCGAGTCTGTTGGATGGCAATTCCCGGTTGATGCTGAAGAACTTGACACTACCGGAGCTTGAGGAATGGTGCATTAGCGTCGGTGGGTAGGTAAAAGTCGTTGATCGTCAGTTATTTAGTTCATTCTGCATGCTTGGCCTGGCTGGCTGTAGACGATATATGGTATTGTGGCTGTGGGTGCGGCCGGGTGATGATGGCGGGAAGAGTAGAGGGATGGATTGATGCATGATGATGATTTTCGGTCTCGGTCTCGTAGCGGCGAGAGAAGGGGAAGCACGGAAGAAGGCGGCTTCCCCGGCTTCCCTTCCCCTCTCACCTCGTCGGCAGTCATCGCCTTCAAAACTTTTGCTGTGCTTGTGTATTCCCCCACACAACGGAGAACCGGCACGTTAGCTTTTCTCGTCTTTTCCGCCCTCCTTTCAGCCCATGAACGTCGCGGGACTTGTGTTTGTGCCGCGTTCTTCCGGACACCCCGCTCTTTACTCTCGTCAACTCCCCTCCTGTTCCCCATCTAAACCCCCCATCTTCCTCGTCGTATTCTGTGCGGGTTTTACTCCCGTGCCCCAACCCCCCATATCCCCCTAAACGCCACTCTTGCCGACCACTTGTAGGGGAGCCCGCCAAGCGCGCCAAGCAGCTGTACCGCTGGTTGTACGGCAACCGCAAATGGATCCGGAACCTGGATCAGGCGGATGGCGACCCGCAGGCCTTTAGCGCCGCATTTAAAGCCAAGGTTTGTGCTAATGTCTTTTACTTAGTATGTTTGTATGTCTGCATGTTTGTATGTTTTGTGGGTGGATCCTATCCTTAAAGAATGGCATGGATGACGAGAGGGATTTTGAGAGAAGATTTGGGGGAGGTACTTTATCCTTCCGGGAATGGATCCAGATCAGCAATCCTCGAGTGCGTCCCCGTCCCCGTCAGCCGCCCCGGACTCCCCTAACCGCCAACTACCACCTCCCCCCGTACGACACCTTCACAGGTCTCCTCAGGGGCCTCCCTGGAGGGCGGTATCCAACTGCAATCCGTACACACCGCACGGGATGGCACACGCAAGCTTGTGTTTGCGCTGCTGGATGGGGGGGCGGGGGGGGAAAGGTCGGGGGGGGAGGAAGCGGCCGGCGGAGGCTCTTCGGGCCCCGCGGGGGGCGTCCGGGGTACCGTTGAAACCGTGTTGATTCCCATGACCAACAGAAGCGGTCAGAACCTGAGGTACACGGCGTGCCTGTCGACGCAGGTGCGTCGGGGTGTCGGTGGGCTTTGTGGCCTCGTGTGTGTGCGTGTGTGTGTGTGTGTGTGCGTGTGTGTGTGTGTGTGTGTGTGTGTGTGAGAGAGAGAGAGTGTGTGTGTGTGTGCGTGTGTGTGTGTGTGTGTGTGTGTGAGAGAGAGTGTGTGTGTGCNGTGTGTGTGTGTGTGTGTGTGT